TTTTTTTTTTTTTAAACCCAACCCGGATATAGAGCAATATTTCCGCGAATGTTACCCTTTATAAAAGTAAAAGTCAGATTAATCTAATTTATTATGTCATAAAAATCGATTGAAACTTGAAAATTATTTCTTTCGGATCTCGGAATCACGTTCTAGAACACGATCGTTGTGCAACTTACTCCAGATCTGTTTTTGGTATTTTGCTTTCTATACAGCCAATTGATACGACGCCCTTCAACTCAGAGAATGCAACGACACACGATCATTTGATTTCGAGTAAAATAGGCTAATAAGATCTGTTTTGCAACGAACGCCAGATCCTTACCTCTTATCTGTTTCTCCTTTCGAAAAGTTTCACTTTCATCTGAAACAGCATAAATATTCCCCTGTGAATACATTCACCTCTTACTTTTTTCTCATTTTTTCTCTCTGTCGTTTTATTTTTGCATTTTACCTTTCTTTTAAGAACAAAATAATTCTCTGAAGAGCTTTGCAGTTTAGCTTTCTTGAACAAGGCATATAACATATACAGTTCATTATTAAAGACCTGCTGTTTGTTTTAAACGTTAAACAATAATCTAATTTTTTTTTAATTATATCTTCAATCTTCAAATACTTCCATGTAACCTTTACTAGGAGATCGAAGGCTATACAAAACCCAATTTATGACAAGCACAAGGTTATTCGATAGAGCATAATTGGCAAAAGTAGATCTCGATCAAACAGATATTCCGAAATTACAAATTTCAAGGATTTATTCGTTGTTGGAATCAAGTTTCTTGGGTCACGATTTGAACGTGACAAATAACGTTTGGCTGTTTATTTTTTCCAAGACATAACCCGTTGCCGCACTTCATTTCCAAAAACATCCGGAAAAGTCGTGATTCGAGGTCTTCTGAGACATTAAAGATTTTGTAAAGAAGAAAATCGTGCGGGTGATGATGCTTGCATCGTGTTAAGGCAGCGTTACGGTTTAAAGCACAAATACCGGCACGAGCCTTTGTGACCTGATGGTCACGACCTTAAGTGGTCGCTGAATTTCATCTGTGTAAACTAAGAATCTAAGCAACGCGGTTCGACCACTGTCAGTATTTCAAATGGCTTCTTATAAAACCTAACCAAAATGTCTGCTCTAGATTGGTCATTGACCTAAGTCTTGCAGCTTGTTGATTTCTGAGCAAGCTTCAAATTTTAAAATATGGCCGATTTTTCTTTTGCTATGGCGAGGCTGCTGACTCTGAATTGTACTCTCAACAAACCACTTAGTCAGCTTTGCTGATCCTGAAGTGTATCATTTTGCACTGGTGTCCATCGGGTAAGGATATTTCCACATATGGGAACATAATTTCCTCACTTAGAATCGAGTTTTTTATTCCATAGCCTTGACAGATGCCCATCAATTATATTAGCTAGGCAGAACGTACTCTTACCTAATGTCAAACTACCATAAGAAACAATGGATCAAATCTTTAGATTACTTGGTTGAAAACACCACAGGATAGTCTTCAGGCAAAATACTAACAAGAAAATTGCCGAGAACGAAAAATGGCAAAAAGGAGGGAAGATTCGAAAGGTGGGTTGAGATGGAGTTTGGTGTCCGAGAGCTTTTTAATGGATAAACTTAGGCTTTTTGCAATGTTGTGGTCTGTTGTAAATATGTCTATTTAGCCTTTGTGTCTATTAATGTCGTTATGTATAAAATTAGTAAACTTCTGAGTCTAAATATTTGGTTTTAATTACTTTCACGGCAGAAAGTAGGGGCTTTTTTTGACCGGATTGTCACATGTGACAAAAAAATAGAACCTATACAGTTACACTAGGATGTCGTACCGTTGACAATGAACAATCATGCCTAATCAGGAATTTGATAATCTCCAGCAGCTGGAAAATGAGCTGAATTAATTTTTTTAGATCGTGGACCACAACGTTTAAAAAGTGTGTGTTTTTTAGTCACCTGTTGTTTTATAATTGCATGAAGTCGTGAGGAGCTGTCAAGAATGTGGTAGTTTCGAAAAAAAACACCTTTTTACTTTTGAACTGACGTTTCGACCTTTATTCGGGTCACCTTCAGAGCCTGGGTAAATTACTAAATATATCTTGTTTGGAAAAAATACAATTTATATTAATCCATTTACGTTTTAGTGGTCAATTGACCAAGTTACTTCTTTCAATTAATTATTCTTTCTATCTAAGGTCTTGGTTGAGATAAAAAAATCAGCCACAAGCGGGATTCGAATAAGTCGCTGAGTTGAGATGGAGAGTTGGTCCGATTGGGCCCAAGTCACGATAGCTCAAGTGGTAGAGTAGCGGCGTATTTAGCCGAAGGTCGTGGGTTCGAATCCCGCTTGTGGCACTAACTTTTTCATTTCAACCAATACCTTACACAAAGATTAATTAATTGAAAGACGTTATTTGTTCAATCGGACTACGAAATATAATAGAAGTAACAAGAAACTTAACTTACAGGAGATCTATACCAACTTCTACTACTTCTTAGATCTCTTACACAGATATGCCATAAGACAGAAGTCGACTATGACCTTGCTGTTTGTCGGGGATAAAAAAATAAAAATCAATAAGGTAGACGTCTTTGACGTCTTTTGACTAAAGTCTATCCTGTGTTGTTCCACCAAGTAATCTAAACATTGTATTCTTTCAAAAGTTGCTCCTTTTTATGGTGGGTTGACATTTTGTCGAAGGTTTTGGTGTTGCCGAAGTAATCTTGGGCTAGTTTTTGTCTTTCCATACCTTTTTGTTCTGAGCAGACATCAAACTGTTCTAGGTTCCTATTTTTTCAATGCACGTAGTTCATTATTCTCTAAAATCTTACTACAGGTGTGAAGTTACTGCTTCGACCAGGGCTTTTTCTTTGCTATTCCGGGAATCTCTATCGCACAGAGATCAAAAGACCAATCAAAAAGGGAAAACTACGTTAATACGTCTTTTTGACCCAAGGAAACCTCACAGAATTAGTTTAAGCGTCTTGACCCGCCCTGCTTATACTCCTGATGCAATGCCACCCTTTTCCCACCAATAAAGCATACTATATCAAAACAATTTCAAAATAAAACTGTTTTTTATCTTTTAATTTGGTTAAACTACATTATTTTTTTAAGTAAAGGTGTACTGGATAATTTTCTTTCTAGGAAACAAGAAACAAATTTAAAAGGTTAAAAATCCATTCAGCAACTCAAAATTCCAAACAAAATCCGTTGTTTTTTATAGATACAAACCGGTATTTCGTCCTTGCAAGTTACCATCTAAGGGAATGTTATCCCGCCTATCTTGTATAAGCTTCCATGCTTGTTTCCATTTAGATGTTTCAAAGAAAAAAAACCTTTTAGCAAATTACAGTTGGGTTACAATTATTACTACCCTGCTTAACCCATTAATTACTCCCTGGATATATATTTATGTAAATTAAATATATATACACAACCGATACACCGTGTGATGATTTTAGATGTTCCTCATTGAAGATGGCGCAATGCCGAAACGCGTTTGAATAACTCAAAAAAAACGCGACTAGAGACAGACCCAGTAAGTACCCAGTGTCAGTTCTACATGAGTTTAGCGACTCCCAGACCCATCATCTACTATGTGTTAGAAGAGTTGGAAAATTAGAAAAGTTTTTTTTTTACTTTAGCTATGTATTTCCAAGCATCTTTTTCAATACAATGATAGAAAGGAATGTCGTTAGCTTTGCCTTACTGTTTTGGGGCCCGATGAAGGAAAAAAGGTTTCATTGTCTCACCGATGATAGCATCAGCCTAGGGTGATGGTGGCGACACTATTTCTGCAAGAGAAGGAGAGCTAACCTGTTCTCCCCAAGAAAGAGCCTTTCTCACTTTAGAACAACTCTGATGATTATTTCACTGGCGATTCTTTTAGATCGAGATTGCAACCGGTGCAACAATACGTTTTTAGATCGAGATTGCAACCGGTGCAACAATACGTTTTTAGAAACTGTGAGCAATAATCTTGAAACGTTTTCGTTCGTCTGTTGTCTTTCAAAGATAGCCCTATTCTACATCATCAAATCCAAAAACCTTGTAATATATATTTTATACTATTTTCCTAAGCGCAATGGACTTGATTACACACTTGTGACTTGATACATTTTTAAATGTCATACTAAGGTAAACTGATTACTAAACTTAACACTTATCACTCCTATATTAAAACTTTCAGAAACTAAATTCCTTTATAACTTTTCATGTTCAACAAAATATCTTATATTTTATATTTCTATTTAATTTCGATTTAGTCTTTCATGAGGGCAAAGACCTTTTTGATCTTCGTCTTTTTTGGCCTCTTGCTATTGACCAGCTTTTGATCTTTCTTTTTCCTACGCCTTTATTCCAGTGTGCACGTTGTTGCCTTAAGGGCGAAAAAATCCAGCTGGATTTTTTAAAATCCGTGCCTAATTTCCAATTTCATCACATGTTCTGCATCGCATGTCCCATTATCCTGCACCCAGTGAATGTGCTGTATATTTTTAACGTGAACGTATTTTTTCAGTGTGACGAAGAATTTTTGGTTTTCCTTAAAAATTTACTCATATCGTGACAAAAACCTAACATTTTTCATAGCGAATATAAAATAATATTAAATTTCAACCGGAAGTACTGGGAGTTGCAGTTTCAATACGCTATGAAGAACAAATAATTATTTACTATTTTGTTTAATTATTACGTCGTCCTGATATATAATGTTATCGGGTTGTCCGGAAAATAATGCAGGATTTTAAGTTTTCATTAAAAAAAATCTATATAAAATATTCTGTTTACGTTTACAGGATTACTCATTTGTNAAAATCCTGCATTATTTTCCGGACAACCCAATAAATGGGCCATGCGATTTAACCTAGGCGTTAAACATAGCCAGGCTTAATTATTTAATAATAATTATATTAAGAAAAACGGCCAGGGGTCTTAGTGACCGACTCCCCTCTTCGGAGAAGGCAAGGATGGCTGGCGGGGAGGCAAGGTGTCTCAGTGAGAGTTTGCGTCCAGTCTTAGAAGAGCGGTTGTGGAGATAATGTCAGTCCAACGATCACAGTGACAAGTGTGTGTTAGGTGACATTTCGAAATTCTACATCGAAAAGAAGAAGGCGTCCACCCCTCCGGATCTGTATGGTGGCTCAACGGAGGGCAAATTACCACCCACTTCAAGGCGTGACATTCTCCCATCTAAGTAAGGCTCGTCCAAGTTTTATATTTTACACGTATTCATACAGTCCGAAGAGGAAGCAAGCAGTAAATTCGAAACAGCGGCGTCAGTTTGCGGACGATTTCTCCGCCGACCGGCGATCCAATTCAAACGAAAGTCGACTCTCTCAGTTCACGGATCCCAGAACTCAATGCCACTTCTTTTATTGTTCCATACACAAATGTGACCCTGGTCAAAACATTATTTCATGTATAAATGGAAAACCTAAACACAAAAAATGACAATCATCAATATACTGAACGATAACAATCCCAATTCAATAAATTCAAAATTGTACTGTATTGTCATGCTAAACTGGAGAGAGCAAGTTGAAAGCGAAGCTTGGATGTTTGAGGTCTTCCGAGCGGAAACCTGCGTGATGAAAAGCCGAAGAAAAAGTCTTTCTATTGTTTTTTAATTTATTAAAATCAACTGATCGTGACTGGTATGTTTACAATTATAAAAATTCCAGAATTTCGTGTAAGTCTACGATGCCGAATTTTTTTCTTCATCTTCTTCGGCTACTTTTCTGCAAGAGGGTGTTGAACGCTAGCGCGACAAACGAGTGGGAGAAGGCATTCAGACAAATATGTTACATAAAACCGTGTTCCACTCCCTTCTCGATTTCCTTTCACTGCTCTTTATGCTTTCTTGACAATGCATGTGATACGTCTGCCAAAAGAAGATTTTCATAGATGATCTTCTAGGGGCTTCCAAACAATCCTCAACGTACCGAAGAAAATCGAGAGATGAAAACTAACGATTTTACGCCCAATAATAATAATGGGGCAAAACTGCGTACAAAATAGCGTCAAAAAGACATAAAAACTATGGTACTTTATTCATATTAAAAATAGTCTAAATCATAAAAGAAAGCAACACTGTTAAAAACAAATATTACAAAAAAGCACCAATTTTATTTAAACTAATTATACCTCAAGGCTTTTAAGCTGAAATGTGAGATGTTACATGTAAATTCAACTGTGCATTTTAGAGGTAACTTTGGTGGATTATCCCTATGCAATTCTCGTTCCGGTGCTTGATCCGGTATGCTAAACTTACTTGGACCTGCAGATACGAAATGACTCAAGAATTTAATTTTTAAGTTTTATTCTTCCACTGTTATTAAGCTATCAAAATTTTGGGCATATTCACCATTTATAATACCTATAATATTTTTATTGTATTTTTTGTATTTTGTATATACACTTGGAATTTTTGTATTTTTATTTTTATTTTATTATTTTTGCATATTTTTACTTTTCTTCTCTCTCTCTCTCTCTCTCTCTCTCTCTCTCTCTCTCTCTCCTCTAAACTGCATATATATTTGCAAACCAATGACTTCTGAATTACTTCTGGCAGACGGATCGGGCAATCCAAGTCCATACTGTTTTTGTTCTTTGATTTAACGGAAAAAGTTTTAATTTTGTTTTACTAAAGCAATTATTATTATTTATTATTTTTATTCCTCAAGGAAAGAAAGTTTTACATTTTTTGACAAAGGACGTTCTCACAAACCGCAAACCTGCAGTTTCACTGGATCATTTAGAAAAACAAACTGTCGCTTTCGTTCTATTCACTCTTCTATGACCGAACGTTGAAAAAATATCGTTTAATAAAAGAAACCGTGAAACGATCAGTCTTATTAAACAGCCGTAAAATTCAAAAACTTACATTTCCGAAGTGATTGGACTGCATTAACTGCACTGTTTAATTTTGAATATGAAAGTGCATTGGCAATCAACGTGCGCAGATGCTTTGCATTTTATCGGTTTCTTCTTGTTTACGGGCAAACCGAAAACTTTAGAAAGTTGACACAACCAAATGTAATCAGCAAGATATATATTTTTTTTAATTGTGTCCAGGGACTGCTAAGATTCTTATCTACTGCTCTCGCTAAGAATGATCTTATCTAGGATTAAGTAAGTTGAACTAGCACAACTAGACCTGCACAGTATTCAAGTCTAGAAAGCTATATAAAGTAATATAATGTGAATTTGGGAAAATAACGATCAAGGGTAGAGGGCTTCAATCAACCAATAAAACAAAAAAAATATTGTTTTTCTTTGGTGGATTGCCCTCTACCCTTGATCATTAATTTTAGAAAGGTTTCACTACGAAGGAAAAGCTAAGAGCTAAGGTTAAAAGGACTTATTGTTAGACATTAGTATGCCTATAGGCTATATTTTAGCATTTGAATTAGTTTCACACCGGTAAAAAAAAAAAAAAAATCCGACTGTAATCAGTTCCCTGCTGTGATTTCCTTAACATTTGCCGATGTTAATTAACAATTTATTAACACTGAAAACGGTAAACGTGATACGTTTATGACTGTAATAAACCTTACCACCGTACGTTTTACTGTTTTGTCGGCCGCCCCGAGGAATATCGAGTACACTGGGGGAATGAACGTGACCAGTCATCTGTGTTTAGAAAAATATGTATGTATTGTATGTTTGCTGTCTATTCTGTAGTTGTCAACCCTGAGAACGAGATCCTATTATTTTAGGATATCGACGTAGTATACGTATAAAAGTAGAATCAGTAACCAGATCGAAACACAAAAAATGGCTGCAGGTTAAAACAAAATACAAATAGTATATACAGGTTTTGAAGGATTACCAAAGACCTTAAACAAAAAAATAATCCTACAACACTAACCTATCGATGAAGATTATCAGACCAAAACAGCGAGTGCAGGCAGACCCACATAATCGGAATGGATCAAGCTACAAACAAATTTGCCTCACGACGTACAGAAACTATTTGAGATTTTGATGTTTTGCTTAAATGTTTCTCAGAAACAATGGATAGTGAATGGAGAATAGAACAGAAATTTGTAATATAAACCTAAATGTAACAGTTAATTATCTTTAATTATTTCAAATTTAGTTGAGTTTAATTAAAGAGCGATTTCTACTAATTTGGTGCGGAATAGTTTACTGTAAAATCGCTTTCCGAGAACAAATAGAGGTACTGTTTTCTAATTGGATCAACTAACTACAGTTAATAAGGAAATCAGTCTCCGCTAATGAAAATCGTGTCATGGCAAGTTCATTTTAAATACATATATTTTTGTTTGACTGCAAAAACATTTTACTCCCATATGGAAAAATAAAAATTTGATGTCTGAGAGCCACAAAATTAATTCTTATTAATTAAATATTTATTCATGTGATAGCTGGAAATTATAAACAAAATTTAACATTTTGGTTGTGCACAAATTTGCTCTAAAGTTCAAAATAGAAACATTGATTAGAAAAGTGATCGGGCTTTTATAACTCAACAGCACAATAGAATATAATGTATAGATTAATTAATCTTTATGTAAGGTATTGGTTGACATAAAAAAGGCAGTGTCACGAGCGGGATTCGAACCCACGACCTTCGGCTAAATACCCCGCTGCTCTACCACTTGAGCTGTGGTGGTAGATGGGAAGTTGGTGTCCGAGAGGATCGAAGTCACGATAGCTCACGTGGTAGAGCAGCGGCGTATTTATCCGAAGGTCGTGGGTTCGAATCCCGCTCGTGACGCTGCTTTTTTTTATCTCAACCAATACCTAACATAAAGATTAATTAATTGAAATAAGTTATTTGGTCAATCGGACCACGAAATCTAATGGATTTATATGTATAGACTTTTTCTAAAGTGCCCCGATGATCATAAATTCATAATGAATGAGAAATAATCAATACAATGTTGGAAGTTAGAAATGCCCTGCATACAACCCTAATGTACCTTGCTTAAATCAACTTGAAATAAAATATACATAGACAGCACTGTACATTACTTGCCTTTGACACAGAGGAAATTTAAAAGATTGAAAGAATTGGCATCTTGCCTCGCCCTGTTTATACCTTGACTTTGATTTCCTTGACGATTAAATCAATTGGAAATAAAATAACGCAATACGTGAACACTTTCCATTGTTTGTCTCTTGAAACAGCGAAAATTCGCGAAATGGCGACTTGCCTCGGCCTGTTTATTCCTTGAGGGCCTCACGGTCTTTTGCTGACTACATCACATTTTTCGAAAATAGTTTGTGTCTGAAACTCGAAGTTATCTCTACCAAATTTATGTGAATACCGGTTACATTTGTGAAATGTACTATTAATTTTATATTCGAAGGTTTTGCGACAAATTAGTATTCTTTAAACCTTGATAATTTGAGTTAAAATCTATTATGTGTTAAAATTAACATGTTTTATTATTTCGAACATCTACAAACCACATCTACTTTTTTTATATGGGGGACAAAACAGGCAATTTTTTAATTTCCTGCTTAACATTTTGCACGTCCGGGTCCTTGAATTGAAAAATTAAATATCTTTAAGTCGAAATATTTACTACACTGTTGTTTCCTCTACAGGCTGTTCAATTATATACATGAATTTAAAAAATATACGTGACGAAAAATAACAAGCTTCTGTTTTAATTTACTATTATATTTTGATTATTATTTCCTATAATATATTGTATTTATTATTATTAATTATTTATTTATTGAGATCGATTTCATGGGGTTCCGCCTCCCTCCTAAGACGTTACGCTCGTTTCGCATCCGGACTCGTACATACCAAGTATTTATAGCCAATTCGTAAGACATTCAGCTTGTATTTTTTTATAGTTACTTTTATACAAATTGATTGATAAATGGGCTCATATATCTCACATTTTCTGTTTATATTATATTTGAAAAACCTTTTGTAAAAGATCATGGCCATCGTTTTCCTGTTAAAAAATGCTAAATTGATTCAGTGATCTTTACAGTATTCCCGGACGTTATACTTTCTCAACACAACCTGAATCGAAAATTTGGTTGAAAAAAAGGTATGAATCAAAAGTGCATTGTGTGCAAATATAGCTTGAATTGCTGTAAAATCGCCATTGGCAAATTGAAAATGGGACCTTTCGAAATTCAAATTGCGATTTAACCCAGGAGAATAAGACTTATTTTCCGATTGTTTTATACAAACATCACTTA